TTTTTTTTTTTGTTGAAAATGAGTTCAGTAATAGCGAATATTTGGAGAATACAATGTTAAAAAGTAGTAAAAAAATTTTGAATTTACATGAAAATATTTTATTGTGAGAATGTGTGGTTGAAAATGAGTTTAGAAAAAAATGAATTTTTAAATAATGGGGATCAAAGGCCATAGTGTCGGGTCCTAAGCTCCTTACTGTTATAAACTTATAATAGAGCCCAAGATGTGCATATGAGCGCTTAAATTTTCCATTGTTGCGACAAAGTTCAAGAAAGAATTTGAGATGTTGTCATAAATTGGTTCCCACACAAGCCGAGGCCAATGAAGGGGGTTATAAATTTTATTTTATTTTTACGTAAGAAAAATTTATATGAATTTTTTTATATACATATTAACTCGATTTAAACTTTTTTTTTTAAAATTCGATTCTGAATTCGCCATGCACACATGACCATAACCATCTGAGCTCTTGGATGCCGAAATGTTTTATCTGGCAGCAGCAGATTAACCAGAATTACAGTGATAACAGATGGACTGGCAATGGATTTCTTCATTTTCCAATTTGTTTTGTCAAATGTGAAACTCATCTTGAAGTTGGGCACCAAAGTTGACTAGGCCAATCTCGAGTATATTGAATGGGACACCCTTACGTATTAAGCTCATAATTAATGTGATATGTCGGTTTACCTAACAAGTCGGTTTACCAATATTATTCACTTTCAAGGTAATTGTTAAGATTTAAATAAGTGATTTGTGTTATTTTATAGTTTGGATAATAAATGACAATATTTATAACATAAGTTGTGGGCAGATTTTTTGGTAACTGATTTCGTGGGTTTATTCCTGCCGAATCCCTTGGAGTTATGAGGAGATTTTTGGTGGTAATTGAAGAGGACATTGTAGGCTTTCCAACGGTATCCGAAACCGACGGTATTGATTGACGAAAGTTGCCGGAAAATTGCAGCAAACTCGCCCAAAAGATCTGAAAATCTGAGTAGATTTTCAGATTTTTCGGTAGCCGACTTCGTGGGTATATTTAGGCCGAATCCCTTGGATTTATGGGGAGATTTTTGGTAGTCATTGAAGAGGATATTGTGAGCTTTCCAACAGTATCCAAATCTGACGGATTTTTCCTATTGATTCAAATATAATTGTTCCCCGACATGGGCTAAATGTCTAAGTGATTGTCGAGTTGATTAACACGACTCAACTGAGGAAAAATAAATTTAAAGAGTGTATTGTAGCAAATCCTTCAAAATTACATTAATTTTTTTTTTAGATGCCCCCTGTTTGAGCCCCATATTTTTAAGAATGCGTTTTTTTTCAAAACTAATTTTCAATCGCAAATTCTCCTATAAAATAATTATACACGCATTTCAAAAACTCTATGAACTATTGCAATAGCAATTAAGAGTTTCACACTCATTTTGGGCGAAGATATTGGTCTATGGAGATA